AGATTTGGGGCTGCCCTGTTGAGGTACAGCCTCAAGTCCTGGTCTGCTGTGGGCTGTGCTCCCACAGAAGCTGCAGTGCTCAGTCTGTGCTGTGTAGGTCTGCATGGTTTGCCTGGACCTGTGGGGCTCCCGTGCCCCTGATGTTTCTCCCTTGGGATACAAGGTGTCTCAGTGTGGCAGGGGCTTCAGGCCCACAACTCAGACGAGGCTTCCCTGGCCTAGGGTTTGCTGTGGACACTGTGTGGGTGGGGCAGGACCCCTGCTGGGTGCCCGCAACACCCCAGTGTCTGTGGGAGGGAGAAGCCCCAGATCTGCAGGACAAAGAGGCTTCCTGGGCCAGGTCAGCTGTGGTGGCAAACCCCCTTTGCAGGCACACTCCCATAGGCAATGGTCTTTTGGGGAGCCCACCCCCAACCCACTCTTTCCCCAGCCAAGGCCTGGCACTATAGCTTCTTACCCATCAGGAACTTAAGGCCATTTGCTCTTGGACCTCTTTTCTTGTTACCAATTCAGCAGGCCTGGTGTCCAAATGTGTCCAGATACAGCCAACCCCCATGTCATGGAATGTCCCATCCTTGTAGAGCCCCTGGCCCAAGGCCATCTGGAAGCTCCAATCCAACTTTGAGTCTGGCTCTGACACCCCTGCTCTGTGAAATGTAATCCCCACAAGGCTGTGGGGCTGCTCATTCACCCCCAGTGACCATATACAAACCCTTAGGAGACAAAAAGCCATGAAGGAGGATCAGACATGAGGTCCCCCAGTGAGCAGGTCCTACTGACCCTGTCATCAGTGACTATCCACCGTTATCCCCTGCTGTGACACTGGTCAGGGGTCCGGGGCCCCTGGGAACCTCTTGTTGAATAAGACCTGACTCACCTCCATCTAGTCTCCCTTGAGCTCTGGGCTCCAATGCTGGGTCCTTTCCAAGTCCACCTTGTAATGCTCAGTGTAAAGTGGAACATGCACTTCACCAAAGTGTAGTGCTTTAGCCTGGGCAGGCCTGCAAGGGCTGCTCAATTAAACCTTCACTCTCTGTCCATGACTGAGATGCATCCAGCTTCTTTTTCTTCCCTAACCTAGAGCTTAAGTGGTTATGGGGGATCAGCTGCATGGACAGCCACACCTCAGCCATTAGCCTCATGACAGGGACCATGCCTGTGCCATAGCCTGCAGTGGAGAGGAAGGTAGGGCCTGGCACAGCCCAGTGACCATGCCCCGTTGGGGCCAGGTGAGACAAATGCTCTGGGCATTAGGATACAGAAAGAGCTAGAGCAGCAGGGTCCTCTGTCCCTAGCTCAGGAGGGCTGTCAGCCAGGGAAGGGGCCCAGACCCAGGGGGCAGAACCCCACTAGCCCAGAGAGCCAGGATGGTGGCACTGGGCCTGCCTCTAGCATCTGTTGAAGAAATAGGTGAACCCACCGGACTTTTAATTTTCAGGTTCAGCTTCCAACTCAGCAGATATCTGCTAAGTTCCATCAGGGCTGTGCATCAAAAATGCATTGTACCTATGAACAACACTGCATGTTCTAATTTAATTCTTAAAAGCTTCGAATATAATTTTAAGGTCTCTAAGCATAATTCCTGAATGCAAAACATACGTGAATTTATAACTGAATTCACTGATCCATAAACACTACCCTCCCAAATAAACACACATGCACACATGCCCAAACATGCACTCACATACATATACACACACATACACATACATATGCACGTGCACACATGCACACACAGACACACACCCTTTGGGACAGTTTCATCCAACACAACTAACAAATGCCTGCTTCACTGAGGTTTACCAAGTTTATAATTTTATTATACTCTGAATAGAGATGATATTTAAAGAGCAGAGAAAATGACTATACAAAGGATTTATAGAACACTCATTTACATACTGGATATATTCTTTACAATATAAGAAAAGTAAAAATACCCACTAATAGGTAAGGCAAATAAGGAGGCATGATGAGGTCCTTCTGCAAAGACACTCATGAGACCCTTAAATGCAGTGTGACTTAACATGGTTATAGGCTAACACTGGATGAATAAGCATATGGTTAATTAGTGGATTAATAGGACCCTGGCTATGACACTCGTTAACTCCCCTGAAAGTACCTGTGGGCCTGCTGGTGCCCTGGGGGCCAGATGCCCCAGGGCCCACGCTGGTGGTGAGAGGTGGGGGTGCTCACAGCAATCTGAGCACTAGGTTCCTGGACTCCTTTTGTTCTATGTAATGAACATGTAACACGTGAAGAAACCTGTCGTACCAGCTTATCAGAAACCAGAGGATTGGCTTCCTTTGGTTCCTTAGAGGAGCAAATTTCCCAATGCCCTTGACTGCAGGGCCTAAAAGCCACAGCTGGCCAGCCAGTTTAAAAGCAAAAGTGTGTACCTTCTTGAATGCTCTAGACAAGGATTGCACAAGAATGCTCTAGACAAGTCTCTGCAATGCTGGCAGCTTGTGCTTCTCAATCCTGCGCCTGTCTCTTGCTCTTTTTTCTAAATATACCCTCTCTTCCTTTGTCAGGAGGATAAGGGACCTGGCCTGCAGTCTTTGAATCAAACTGGGTATTGGGGTCAGCACAAAGCTCAGTTCTCCTTGGCCACATTCCTACAGTGAATGGAAAACTGAAATGCTAGGCGGCCCTGCCAAAGGCCAAGACAGCAGGGCCTGTGGGAGATGACGGCACATTCTCTTCAACAGCCATGCCAGCATACATCAGGGAAGAAGGTCCGTGAAGACCAAGGCAAACATTTGGCACAGAAATGAGGCACTTGCGTTTGGTGCATCAATAGGAGCTACCAGGCACCTGTCCGCCTGCTTTTACACAAGTGTTCAATGCCCACTGCAGTTTGGCTAATTCCAACCCTGCTTGTGACCCACTTAAAACAGGGAATTCACAGAGCACATTTCCAACTGCCAGCATGGGACCATCACTGGGGATTCCCAGGTGATCTAAGAGCTGGTGCTTGGTTTTTAGTAGCCAAGCAGAAGAGGCGGCTCATGGTGATGGAGATCTGGGAGCGTCCTGGTTATCTGAAGCAGACCAGGACTTTGATACGGCCTTGCCCAGTTTCATCTCCCACTATGGGGGACATGCAGGATCCTCAGCTTCCCGCAAACCAGAGCCTCCAACCAGACCATAGCCTTGCAATATTCACATTGGCACAGAGCAAACCTGGTTAGGTCACTAGGTGATGCAGGAAAGCGGCCCTCAAGAGCAGCCTGTAAGTGAGACTTCTGAGAAATCTCCTCTTCCTCCCTGTGCTCAGGATGCCAGAAAGATACAGGATCCCAGTGGGAGCCAACAGGCGTGGACAAGAGAGATGAGAGCTCACAAAGGTCAGAGGTTGTCTGGGCAATCTCTCCCAGGCCCAATGGGACCAAGGGCAGTGAGGCAGGGGTGGCCCAGAACATGCCCACATTTTGCCTTGGGTGCATCCAACACAGGGCCAATGCCCCTCCTTAGTCCCGGCCTGGCAGGTGCAGTACTGGACAGCAGGTCAGGATACAACAGCAAACTACAGTGATCATAAATAACTGGACTCAAAGAACATACACATTTTTTCTTCCACCTTCTGCCTCCTCCTCTCACTCACCACTCAGACCCGGTGTGAGTGGGAGGCTGGGGTTGTCTGGCATCTGGTCACCCTCCCGAGCGACCTCCCTTGTCCTCCCGCCCATCAGGCCATCCTGTGTTCCTGAAGGACCTGACCTGCACGAGCCTCTGTCACATGTGTGCCCTGCTCACACTGGTCAGCATCTTCACTGTGGGAGCATGAAGGCTCCCTAGGGTGTTGGCTGGACAGGAGCCCCTCCGGAGGCACAGCCAGCTACTCACGACCACCGCAGAGTGGGCTAGGTGCACCCCTCCTGCTAATGCTAGCGTGCAGGGTCACAGGGAGCCCACGCTTCCTTGCACAGTCCTGTCCAGTGAGGGGCCTGGAAAACACTTGGCTCCAGAAGCATATGGGTGAGCGGTTCCTTTAGGGAAGGCCAGGGGATGGTGGGCTTGTTTGTTCTTGTTTTGGTAAAGCTGGAGGAGCCCCCTTCCCTCCTGGGCTTGGAATGTCAGGGTCACAGTCTGCTACCCAGGAGGCCGCCTCTGACCCTCTGGTATCTCGGGTCTGTGAGGGCTCAGATTTTCTTAGGGGAGCCGATCATGACCTTTGACACAAAGTTGACAATGGCGCTGGCAGGCTGCTCAGGGTCGTGCTCTGCAAACAGGTGGCACATGTTGTCTGTGGCACTGCCCTGCTTCCGGGCAACAAATCCAAAGATTCTGCAAAAGGGAAGCCGAGGTCAGATCACCAGGGTCCCAAGGCTCAAGCGTGGTGTAAACCCCTCCCACCTCCTACACCACCTCTCCCTGCCACTTACCCCCAGTCAACCAGGGCCAAGGCCCCTGAGGACACCTGTCACATCTCTCCCCCATCACAACACCCACCAGGTGAGCAATTGGAGGGTGAGAGCAGGTGAGTGCCAGCTCCAGCCCTGGGTCTGGGATCTGAGCCAAAGCCGCTTCTCCAAGTGTGGCCAGAATCCTCCAGACATGGGTCAGGATAGGCTCCTGAGCCCCGTTCAGGCACATGGACTGGATTCTCCACGGGGCCCGGGGTGAGCACCTTGCTCTCTCCTCATGCAGTCGGATCACACAGGAGCACAGAACCCATGTGGGTACTGACCACCCAGCTGTGGTTGCCGGGGGGATAGGGGACAGGAAACTGTACACCTGCCTGGGTGTCGAGATCCCACCCACAGGACCAGGGTGGTCTTCCTGGGCCTCGTATACTGCGTCACAGACTGTGCTGTTGAGGGGACTGTTAAAAGGGCGGTGCATCTGATCATTGTTCCTAGAAGAACTGAAGCCATTATCTGAATAGGCTTTCGTGAGCCCTAAATTTGAATAACTACCACTGTCTGAATCAAATCCCCAGTAGTCTGTCTTCTCCTTCTTAGAAAATTAAGGATTTTTGTCTTAAGTTTATCGGTCTCCACACCATAGGAGGGACTGGCTCAAGAACCAGCTGGGGGAGCTGCCAGCCTTGCATGTGGGGCCACAGGGGGTCTGGGTGCCACCTGGGGCTCGGGGAGGCATCTGAGGACTTTGTCAGATCCCGAGACAAAGAGGAATATGCAGTAAGGCTGGAGGAAAGCATCCCTGGGGTGGACACCCTTGGTAATCAAATTTGGGTTATGTAGAGGTCAGGGGGCATGCAGACAGCTCTGGGGTTCAGGAAGCCCTGCAACCCTGGCCCTCACTGGCCTGTGGCAGAATGAGGCAAGCTGAGAACCCCGCCCCCTCTGCATCACTGCACTTAGCAACCACATCCTGCATGCCCCTCCTGCGGGGACCTCCCCTCATCTGGCCCAGCCTCAGTGCCAGCCTGCACAGCACCTGGATGCCTGGGAGGCTGTGCACTCCACTACACGCTGTTTCTACCACAGAGTGCGGATTGGATGGACATACTGCTTGTTCAGGGAAGAGCAAGCAGGCCAGCCCTCTGTGGGCCCTTTCTACATCAGGATGCTGTCATTATTGTTTAAAACAAAACCCAAACTTACTGGTGTTCCTTAGCAACCCCTTACGAGGGGCCCTTTTGGGAAATCTGGAACAGAATACAACTTCAGATTGACCAGGGCATGGGAGAGGTCTTGGCAACTTACCTTGAGCAAGGGCCATCTGTGATCCACCTTGAAATGAAGGAAACAAGAGGAGAGCTACATCAATTTCCTTATTAACTCAAAGGTCAGAGGATTAACGGGCTTCACACAAACACGGATTTCTTACTTCCTGTCTTGTGGGTCCAATGCGCAGAAAATGACGCTGCTCACGGGGTAGTGCCTCCGGAAGAAGAGCCTGTGGACATGGGGGAGGGGCATGGTCCCGTCACTGGGTCAGGCTGACAATGGTGCGTGGGCAGGTGCCCCTGAGCAGCTTCAGGGACAGAAACCTATTTTGTGCTTTTACTTGTCATTTGGACAGAAAAGCAGAGAGGTTCTTGGGAGAGCTGACAGCCAGCAAGTAGCACTGTGCAGGGGGAAGCCTGGAATTGCCAGCGGGGAACCCTAACAGGCTATGGGACAGCCTGATCCAGCCTTCCTGGCGGCATCTCAGGAAACCTCCAACAGCGTCCCACCTCACTCTCCTCACCTGTGCAGAGGGCATGTGGGCCAGCCTGCCACTTTCGAGGACAGGAGCCCAAATAAGACGCAGTAACAGACTAGAGGGTACACTGCAAATTAAGGGCAGTCCACTGGAATGTGCTAAGGCTAGGGCCACACCATTACAGGCGGAACTACCAGAGGACCCTTCTGTCCTCTGTGCTGACTCACATCACCTTTGTTTCACCTGCCAGCCCCGCCTGCTCCCCTGAGATGGCTGCCCCAGGTCTACCTGGTCACTAGGCCCCAGGCCCTGCATCCAGCAGGACCAGTTCCTCCTCCTCCTGGGGAGGTGGCATTCCCGGATGCTGGTGGCCTTGCTCCTGGTACAGGGAGAGAGCTCATCAGGAGGAGACCAGGACAGAGGTCAGTGTACAGGCAGGGCACAGGCCGAGGCTGGATATCTCTCAGGGTGGACCCCAAGGCTGGCAGCCCCCGTCCCACTGCCTGGATTGCAGGTGTCACTAAGGATGCTGCCCCCCATCATCAGCACAGCCAGGCCACACTCAAATACTGCCTCTCTCCATAGGGAAGAGGCTGAATGCCACAGACCCTGCTCACCCCGGGGTTTATAAGGACCCAGGGAGACTAGAGCACAGAAAAAGCACATGGCAGGCTGAGTCTTTAGAGGGGCTGCAAGGAGATGAGATGCCTCTGGCCCTGACTGTCTACTCTCCAAGGTGCTGGGCTCTTGCTAGCCACTAAATCCTGACACCCTTAGTTGGCCCGGTCTGAAAAGTGGGGAAACCAAGTGCCAGTGCCATGGTCACCTGCTGGTAAGGCTGGTAGGTGGTGGGGACCACATGGGCACCCCTCTCCTTTGTGGACCAAGGTTGGTTCTGCTTCAGGGAACTTCCCACGCTTGGGTCTGGCCTGGAGCAGGCAGGAAGGGTGGGCCGGGAGCTGCTCTGGGAAGAGCTTCCTGGTTGCTGGGCGAGGCCTGGGCACTGCCCCGTCTGGGTGAGGAACCTGACCGTATGTCGCTCCAAGTTCCTGCCACCCTCTGCCACCCTCAGCTTTTAGGGCTGATGACTGGCTCCCTTATTAATCACACCAGGCATTTCCATAACAAACAGTAAGTGCAGATGAAATGCCTTTGGTCAAAGGCCCCACCAGCCCAGGGAGACACATACCTGCTCCTGCCCGAGCTGCCCCTTGCGGGGCCTGGGCTCCACAATGTCCCCGAGGGGACATCTGCTCAGCCAACTCAGCGAGAGCGCTGAAGGTCAGTTGAAATGGGACTGTTATTTATTATCTAGGTGTTCAAATGCTACCTAGATAACATTAATTAGTAGTAACTGTTAACTATGCCTATGTGTCATGATTATAATGTAATAAGCAACACTGCCTCACACTCAGGAAATACCTGCCAAGGTCACACCCGCAGAACAGGGTGACCACTGGTCTGCAGGGATGAGCCTGGAGCAAGGGTGAGAGGACGCCAATGGAGTCTGAGTGCTTTTACAGAAACAACTTAAAAGACCTCTGCAGTTGCAGATTACCTTTGTTTTAATTTTAATGATTCCTAAGAAAGAAGCCTGTAGGCCAATATTAATGATTTAGATGTGGTTCCTGGGTCCTATGTGACGATGGGGAAATGCATACATGGGTGATTGCTTTGGCCATTTCCAGGACTGCTAAGCTAAGCTCTTACCTGGATGACCACTGACATGCACAGAGGCATGGCCCAGGGGACGGGCAGAGCTGGAGGAAGGCCTAATTCTGCCCAGGCATGATGGGAATATCCCTCCCCACCCAAACCCAGCACTCACTTCCTCTGATTGTCAGTCAGCGTGATGCCCTGGGATGACACCTTGAAGTGCACGACTGTGCACAGGGGTGGTGGCTCCTGGACCAGGGTGAGGTTCAGGGCCTTCTGCACAGCCTGGGGGCCTGTGAGAGACTCCATCTCCACGGAGTTCAGGTACCACACATTGCAGGCTGCAAGACATCAGGGGACGCAGCATGAGCACGTCCAGCAGAGGAGGGCTATTGACAACGGGGCCCTGGGCTTGTGGACCACTCGCATGTTTGTTTGGCCCACGCCAGGTGCACGTGCACCTCTACTTCCAAAGATGTGGAGGGAGAATGACCTAGGGACACACTTGCCGAAAGGCCCACGTAGAGAGTAAGCACATTCCCAGAGCCAGGGAGACCCTTCCCTCAGGTCCCAGGTGGAGGCACCTGTTGCTGTATTTCTGCCTGGCACCCTAGAGGGCTGGAGGCACTGCTCAGTCTCAGTGTGGGTCTGGAAGGACAGGAGCCCAGCCACAGTTAACATAAAGGAAACATTCACAAGGGGAACGTGAGGTCTGGAGCCTCAGAAGACTGCCCCACACAGAGACCTAAAGATGGGGTGTGTCCAGAAAGAGCTAGAAAATGGATGATTTGGGGTGACTTGGTGTGTGGGGAACGGTGGGATGGCCTGTCCTGCCCACATCCATCCCCATTCCCCACGCTGCCCAAGGGCCAGGAGCTTGTCCATAGTTCTCTCCTCCTGGGGGAAGCAAACAGCCAAGCATGCAAGGGCTTTGTAAACAGCCTGAGGCCCTTTGGGCCTGGGTCCCCGCAGCTAAGTAGAAGCTGATGTGGGGCTCTAAAGCATGGGTGACACTGGTGTGACCCCCAAGACACAGACTCCGCCTGCAGCTCTCTGGCTGCAGAAGCCGTGGCCTCACCTGGCCAACCAAGAATGTGTCCCCCCAGGAACACAGCTGCCCTGGCCCCCAACTCTGCTGGCTGCCACACTCTGTGCGAGTCTGGAGTATCTTAAACCCCATGCTTACGAGCCTCTGGATTTTCACTAACCAGAAAAGACAAAGCTTCCCCTGACCCAAGCAGCATAACCAGGCACTCAAACGTTTAAGTGTGGTGACCTCACTGGTGCTGTTTCCCTTTAAGACAGTCTTTCAGGGAGGCACCAGGAGTGGCTCTGGCCCATTCCCACCTTGGGGACTGAGCAGGAGCCACACCTGTTGGCCTGTGCACACCCGTGACCATGAATAAGAGAACAGAAATAATGTAGGACGTCCTGGGTATCAAGATGCAGGGACACTTCTGAGCTTGCCACCCATGCTCTCTGAGGCAAATGATACCCACAGCTCATCTTCAAAGTGTGAGAAGCTCTGAGGATTGGGAAACCTCACTCCTGTGAACACCCACAGTAACCAGATGAGGACAGACAGCGACGCCTGAGTTCGCAGCACCAAGTGCATCAGACCTGCCCTGGTGAGCTCCAGAGGGTGTCCAGTGGGGCCTCTGGCCAGGGCAGGGAAAAGCTACCCAGAATCAGCTGATTCACTACAAAGGCCCAACTGGAAAGGCTGCATCTCAGGGAAATGCGGCAGATTCTGGGAAATGTCCCAAAAAGCAAGCAACCCCCAGGATGGGTGCTGGTGTTTTCTGGTGTGCACACCTGCTGCAAGGGGCTCCCAGAGAATGACTAAGACAGTGACCTCGCTTCCTCAGGAGAGCAGCTCGCCCCATGCTTAGGGCTGAAAAGTCACCAACTTTCCTGCTAAAGTTTACAGGCAGCTCATTTCACTCTCATGAAAAACCGTGACATTTCACTTTTCTAATTATTAGAATCCATTGTGCCATTTGAGCAGAATTTCAAAAGAAGGTTCTGCCCCAAACACACGGCTTCTGCATCTCCACGGTGATGCTGCTCATCTGCTTGCCCTGTGTCACTTGCTCTGTGTCACCTGCTGTGCCAGGCCTCGGCTGGACAGTTCAGAGACATCTCATCAAATAGACACACAGTCCTGTAAGGAAGATACTACTGTCACCCCCAATATAACAGGTGAGGAAATGGAGCCTAGGGACCTTAAGAAACGAGCCAGAAGTCGGTTGGCAGCTCCTTGGTGCCCAAGCTGCTGTGACAGTGCTGACAGCCTCCCTACAGTGCTGAGAACTCCCCAGGTACCAGAGTTCATGTGGGGACACACACTCCTACGAAGTTTCTTGCGACAGCTGGAGGATGAGCTGTCCACTTTATGGGGAGGCATCTGCACCGTGCGCTATTCCTCAGCCATCAATGACACTCACTGGCAATCCGTGTGGATGTCCTGACAGCAGGCACACCTTTTAGGAGATAACACCTGCACATTTTCTCCCAGAGAGATGCTGAGAGGAGGTACAAATTGGAGGCACTCTCCCTGAATAGCTGAGTTTCCATGGCTAGCACCCCTGCTCCTTCCAGCAGGCCGGGCACTGTGCCTGTCTCCTGGGACAGCGAGGAGACTCTCCACAGGAAACTTCTGGGCTGGCAGGTAACCCATGCTTCAGCTTTGTCTGAACTTAAGATCTACTTGTGTTGTCTTGGGAAAGACAGGGAGTTGGCAAAAGTCCCTAAAATTGCAGTTGCCCAATGCTCTGATAGACAGGTGCCTTTATGAAATGCTCATGTCTCCAGGACATGGAAGAGAACTTGCCAATATTTATCAGGAGGATCAGAAGAAATGCTGGCACTTGGTGACCCAGAGGTCCCAATTCTGAGAAGATTTAGGCAGGAAATATCCCATAACCAAGTGAGGTGATGAAGTGAGCCACATACTCAGTGGGGAAAAAAATGGAGATAAATTTAGTCCAAGAATTGGGGGAATGGTCAAATTAGCCCCTCAATAGAACATGAGACATGACAACATGGTAAATGTTAGGAGCTAATGGGAAAATGTTAGAAGCTAAAGTTTACAGAATAAAAATTGTACTCATACTGTGATTAGAACTAAAGAAATAAAAAGCATATGTGCCTATGAACAGGAACTGGACAGGTTCACAGAACACTTCAAGACAGTTTGACTTTAAGACAGTGAGTATTCTGTCTTTGGTTTCATTAGTGCTCCTGACACACTCATCTTGCAGTTGGCAAAAGGAAAGAAAAGAAAATTTTGGTCTAAATACAATGGCACAGCCTGGATTGGGTGCACATGTGCAACCCCGGGATGCCACAAACTCAGGCCCCTGCTTCCTTGCAGTGTCACAAATGGCCTTTTGATGAGGACCAGGAGGACTGTGATGTCTGGGGCACCTCTGTCCCTGAGGGCAGGGCTATGCTGTCATTAATTGAAGCCAAAGCACATGGAGGCAGCTCTGCTGAGCCCATGCCATTTCCTGGGAGCCCCCAGTCTCAAACCACAGGTGGCCTGTGAGTTTGTCCTACTGGGCTGGCTCAAGATACCCAAATCCACCTGATGAGTGCTCTCGGTTGGGGCTGTGGTGCTTGGTGCCACAGTGGGCAGAAAAACGCATCAGCACCAGAGCAGGAACAAAAGTCAGAGCCACATGCTCTTACCCAGCCCCACCATTTCTGGGAACTCAGGTCTGAAGGCAACAATCCAGGATTCAGAAACAAGAAATGATACCATCAGCAGTTCTTCAAGCATCATCGGCTACTGACAGGTTAGGAACAAGCCAAGTGAGCAACATAAGGAGGTGAAGCACAGGATGGACCGTTAGAGCTGCTGAAGATGAGGCCTGCGTGGTGTTTGCAGGAAAGCTGTGCAAACTCCCTGTGCTAAGTGAGAAAGGGAGCCCCTCAGTGGTTGTGTGGGGGTAACAGGTCTACAAGTAACTCCTTGCCCCTTTCTTTCTGTAGCTTCCTTATTTTAACTTCACGAGTTCACCTTACTTTTGGAATGAAAATACAGTTTACCATATAATAAGTTAAACGCACAACTCTAACACAGGAGCTCTGCTGGAAGTCTAGCAACGTGCTTTTCTTTCTGGGATTCTAACGCATTCTGCCCCTTCAACGGGCACCCGTGAGGAGAGGGACTAGAAGCATGAGCAAAAATTGTTTGAGAGACGGAAACAGCCTGTATCGACCTCACAACAGGATTTCACTAGGAGTACTGCAAATTGCGGTGGGGGTTGGGGGGGCGGGGGCGCAACCTTGCCAGTATCCGGAGTACTAGTTTCCTCAGGTTCACAAGGAGGAAGCAGGACATGTGCTCTCAAAGAACCGCTCCAAGTCCACGAGACTGGGAGTCTAGGTGAATCAGGACTCTCATGTGAGACAAAAACACTCAATTTCCTTGAGGTGATGAGAGATTGGATAGTCCAACCACCTTCCAACAATGGTCATTCTGCATTTGCTGTGAACAATCGCAGGGTCTGGAGAAGAATGGGTGCTCTCTGCAGGGTCCTCACTTCCAGGCCACATCTGTGCCTGACTCAACTCCTTGCCTTGCCATCTGTGAAGGTAGTAGCTGGGTGGAAATTTAAACCCCTTGATGTGTTTTAGAAACAAGAGACGTTAAAAGCACATAAGTTCAACACAGATGTAATGTAACCCTCATAATGTAAATACCTGACTCAGATGCTGAATGAGAACTCCAGGTTCTGTTATATTGGCAGCCAAAAAAACAAAATACCTAGGTATAAATCTAATAAAATATATATAAGATCTATATAAGCAAAACCACAAAAGTGATGAAAAATATCAAAGAAGAACTAAAATAGACATTTCATGTTCATGGATAGGAAGACTCAATCTTTTCAAGATGTCAGTTCTCAACTTGGTCTACAGATTTAATGCAATCTCAATTAAAAATCCCAGCAAGTTATTTTGTGAATATCAGCAAACTGATTCTAAAATTTATATGGAGAGGCAACAGACCCAGGATAGCCAACACAATACTAAAGGGGAACAAAGGTAGATGACTGACACTTCTTCCCTCAAAACTTACTATGAGGCTACAGAAGTCAAGACAGTGTGGTATTGGGGAAAGAACAGACAAATAGACCAATGGAGCAGAAAAGAGAGCCCAGACACAGACCCACATATATACAGTCAACTGATCTTTGACAAAAGAGCAGAGACAACATAATGGAGCCAAGATGGTCTCTTTAACAAACAGTGCTGGACCAACTGGATGTCCAAATGCGATAAATGAACCTAGGCACAGACTTACAGCTGTCACAAAAATGAACTCAAAATGAATCGTACAGCCAAATGTAAAACATAAAACTATAAAACTCCTGTAAGATAACATAAGAGAGAAATCTAGATGAACTTGAGTTTGGCAATGACTTTTTAGACATAAGAGGCATGATCGAGGAAAGAAAGAATGATAAACTGGATTTCATTAATATTACATACTTCTGCTTTGCAAGAGACACTGTCAATAGAATTAGAAGACATACACAGATAGGGAGACAACATTTGCAAAAGACACATCTGACAAGGTCCTATTATCCACACACAAAGAACTCTTAAAACTCAACAATGAAAAAACAACCCAACAATGGACAGACACCTCATCTAAGAAGATAACCCAGGTGACAAACAGGCAAATGAAAAGATGCTCCATATATCATCAGGGAAATGTAAATTGAAACGGCAATAAGATATCACCACATACCTGTGAGAATAGCCAAAATCCAGAACACTGACAACACTAAATACAGAGAACATGAATCAGCGGCACTCTCATTCACTGCTGCTTGAATGCGAAAGGATGCAGCCACTTTCAAAGAGTTTGGCGGTTTCTTACAAAATTAAACAGAATTTTGCCATATGATCCAATAATTCTACTCCTTGTTATTTACCCAAAGGAAATGAAACCTTGCATCCACACAAAAACCTGCCTAAGGATATTTACAGAAGCTTTATTGATAATTGCCGAAACCTCAAAGCAACCAAGATGTCCGTAGTAGGTGACGAATAAATACACTGTGATCCATCCAAACAATGGAATATTATTCAGTGCTAAAAAGAGATGTGCTCTCAAGCCATGAAGATGTGGAGGAGCCTTAAGTGCATTAGATAACTAAGTGAAAGAAGCCAATGTGAAGAGGCTAAAGTCTGTATGACTCCAACTCTATGACATTCTAGAAAAGGCAAAACTATAGAGACAATAAAAAGATCAGTGGTTGCTAGGTGAGGGAGGGAAGGATGAACAGGCAGAGCACAGAGGACTTTTAGGTCAGGGAAAACACTCAGGGTGCTCCTACATTGGTGGGAATGTGTCTTCATAGGTATGTCCAAACCACAGAATGTGCAACCCTCAGAGAGACCCCTGAACTAAACTGTGGTTGTGGGTAACAATGTACAAGTGTAGGTTCATCAACTACAACAAGTGAACCCCCTGGTGGGGATGCTGGTAATGGGGGAACCTTGCATGTGTGGAGGCAAGAGTGTACCAGAAATCTCTGTCCCTTCCTCACAGTTTTGATGTGAATCTACAATTGCTCTCAAGAGTAAGGTCTATTTTTTAATAGTAGTACCCTGGAGAGCTCACTGTCTGGGGATCGGTGTTCCCTGACCAATGTGGGTCACACCACTAGCCCATTTTGAGACACAGTGAGCCTCGTCTCCCGAACACTTTGATTTCAGCTGGAGGGACAAGACACCTACACCCTATCTCCCTACATCCTCCCAGACTGAGCCCAAGGGTTGACTTGAAGGCCACTGAATTTGATCATGTTTGAGTTGGGGATATTTCCAGCCTGCAGCTTCCTGGTTTTGTCACTGGACACTGGGTGCCCCATTGAGCACGGGGTGGTTTTCTTTAAAAGGACACCTCCTTCACACAGGCAAGCAGCGGAATCCCGAGATGGAGGAGAGAGAGGAAGCTGCGTCACTGAGTCCTCATCCTGCTCCAGGACCAAGACAACGTGGAGAAGGAAACAGGGTCACTGACCTGCCCCCTGCTTCAGCAGCTCAGCCGCTGAGTTGGCCGCCGTTTGGGGCGAACTTTCGGCTATTTCTTCCAACGGATCTGCAGGAAGGAGCAAGAAAATGCAGAAATGAGTTGTTCTCACTGGAAAAGAATCTTCATAACACTGTTAGACACCCAGGACTGAATTCCCAGACAGTGATATGCAGAGCCGGGTGTTTCTCTTGAGGACAAGAGTCCATCATCTCATCCTGAGCAGAAGCTGGAATGATGTGACCCAGCAAAATATCTTTCTGACCTCTGAATTAATTTCTATGGACAACTCAATTTTAAAGGTAAATCACAGTGACCTGTATTTTAAGTTAATAGTCTTCATGTGATAAATGATCTAGGAAACTGGGACAAGGCCACATCACACTGTTGTATTGTGGGTGCTTTTTTATTATTATGGATATTTTCAAACAAACATGAAGGCAAAGAGAATAATAGTTCATCTATCATCTACAGTTCAAAAATATTAATTTTCCTGATTTTGTAGAATCGTCAAAGTTAATGTAAATGGCCTTGAAGGTATCTTGGTTTAGGCATTATACATTTTTGAACGAAGAGTCTTTGTCCCAGGGAAACCTTTCAGAAAGGCCATAATCTCAGAATAAGGCAGGGTACTGGGGCCACATCTCCTCTCCTAGATGGACTATTCAACATTCTTGTGGGTGACCCACAGAGTACACGACAGAAACAGACTTCTGGTCCAATTTTTCTCAATGCACCTTTACGGATCCCCGTCCCTGGTGTGCAGGACACCGTGCTGCCCCGAGGACCTGAAGCGTACCTCTGTCTGGAATGAGCAGTTTGCAGGGTAAGGCCAAGGGCGTGATGGAATGCTGACACACCAGAGCCGTCAGGCTCCCTGCCAACAGACACACAGCAAGCCAGAGTTAACATGGACCTGGATACCGTGCTTTTCAGCCAGTTTACCCCCTGAAAGGAAGCTGCTGCAGAGGGTGAGCCCTTATATTTTTAGCAACAAACATGCTCCATTACTGTAGCGCTTTGTGCAAAACTTCAGTAAAGCAGCAAGTTCAGAAAAACAGCTAAGAGGCAGGTGTTGGGAACTGCAGATGATTCCCAGCAAAGACACATCTATACCAATTTATATACAATAAATCGCACAGCTTGCTGAGCCTGAGGTGGCTCCAACTGAACCACCTCCACCATCCCCAAAAGGTGCCCCTAAAGGCCAGGATGTGCCATGCTTCAGGGCATGCTCGCCAGGTGAGCTCACAAGCTCTTCCCAAGCCTGCAAGGCCAGGAAGGCTCCTGTCTCGCTGGAGAGGAAGGGCACCATCTGGGGGGTCCTGTGACCCCCTCATCCCCTCGGATGGGGCGACACTCAGGCTACAATCTTGGCACATGCATCTGCCTGCTAGCCAGAGGGCACCATTGCTGAAACCTGCATGCCCAGTCCCAGCACCCTGCTTTTTGTTTGATTGGTTTTGAGAAAGTTTTTAGGATGAATTTTGTATGTAGTATATTTTAGAGATAATTCAGGCTCTCACCTGAATAACTCAGGAAATCAGAACTGGGGACTCATAGTAAACTCTCGTGAGTGACACAACACGGAGTGCCAGGCTGACCCCAGTGACGAGCAGGGTGTCCGTGCGAGCTCTCAGCCACTTACCAAAGTAGGGTTCATTTGAGCACCCCTTCAACCGCACTCCCCTTGGGGTACACTCAATCAAAAAATGCCGAACGAGCTCATTGGCCAAATCTCCAGCTGTAGTAAGAGATTTAAAAGGGGAAAATTTTTTTTTAAATATCAGAACAAGGGAGGACGAGAGAGGAGGAGCAGTTACAGGGAGAAGCTGCCCCGAGACGGCCTCGCTGTGGCAGGCGTCCAGTCACTGCAGTAGGCTGGCCGCCCAGACTGTCCAGGAACATGGTGGAGAGGCAGAACAGCTAGCTGAGGAACCACCAGCCGTCACGCCTGGGGTACAGGGGTCCTCTGGAGAGACCCTCAGAAATTCTGCAGGGATCCCCAGGCAGAGGGCGCATCACCAGCCAAGAAATAGTGTGAGTTTCCAGCTCCTGCCCCTCCTAAGAAGACAGACCAGAGAGGCAGATGGTGCCCAGGAAGGCATCCCAGAAGAGAGCCAAGATGCCAGCATTCTGGGTAAGATCTGGCCAGGCCCAGGAGCACATGCCTGAGGGACAGAAGCCTCAGCTGCACACGAGCAGCCTTCCATCCCATGGCCACCAAACAGAACATCTGTGTCTGTGCCAGCCCATGAAACCAAAGAGAAGGTGCATCACAGAAAACCCCCGGTGGCAACTGTCTGAGGATAGAACATGCAAATAAAAGCAAACATAAGAGAGAGATGTCACAGCTCCCTAGTTACAAGTCCAGCAACCAAGCCCCCTGAGCACTCTGTGGGAACCTGTTTGCTGTGGCTTCTAACATTTCTGATATTGGAAGCCACCCAACAAGCAAGACCTGCTGGAGTTGCGTTTGGACCCTATACCTTGCCCATGGTTGGCTCCCAAATGATGCTTATAACCAATAGTGAAGGAGGTTACAACATCAGTGTCAGCCTTTTACAGGGGAAACAATGCTGGCAGCAAAGGAAATAATCAGATTCCACAAAGGGCTGAATTGCATCAAAATGCGGAAAAGAACATTTTGCCATTCAGTTGTGGGAGACACAAGTATGGTCTGGACTCCAGTGGTGAGAGTGAGTCAGCGGGAAGCCCAGCCCGTGGGTGACATGTCTCCCACCCGCATACTGGCTGCCTCCCCATCCTGGGCACCAGGGGAGGGAGGGTGGCCCCCTGGGCTCTCTCCGAGTTTGCCCAACTTTCCACTCACATCTACCCTTGGAGTGAAATTCAAATGCCAAATCCAGAGGCTGGATGAAAACACAGCAGCTATGCTGTGCCCCCACAGAGGGCTTCCAGAAAGCCTGTCATTCTAATATCCTCCACAGATTACCTTCTTCTTAAGGCAGAGTCCATGGGGGCCTGAGAGGCAGCGTGCGTGCCTCAGGGTGGGAACGGCCATGACTATCTGATTTCCAAAGAGATAATACCTGCAGGAAAAACCCTGGGGACATTGCTTTAAAACTCTGAACGGAGCCAGGTGCCCAGGAGCTGCCCTGCACACATTCCTACCCTCCCACAGGGATCCCTTGTCTCCATGCATCCACAGATGCTCCATTCTGAGATGTTTTCTGCTCCAGTCATTATTCAGCATGTTTCCAATTAAGACTGGATGCCAAAGATCCTCCAGGAGGGTCTGATTCGGCTGTGCAGCTGTCAAACTCCAGTTCTCCCTCTAAGCGATTGAGTGTTTGCGGGGGATGGACTTCTGGGTGCTCTTGGGCCTTTCCACCTTCCAAGGCTTACTTGTTCTACCTGCTCTACACAAGCCATCTCCTCTTTCACCTCCACAAAGCAACCACCCCAGGATGTGGGGGTCTTTGCTCTTAGTCACATGGCTCTTTCCAGCTTCCCCCCTGCCCTTTCCCTCCACACAACCATACCTTTGCCAAAACAGACCATCCACGGTTCCCGATAAGCCCTCAGCCATGCCTGAGGCCTAACACCTTGACAACCAGATCTCACATTCTTTAAGGCAATTTTCTCCAGGAAGCTTTAAACAGAGGTTCGACCAAGGATTGGGGTAAGTCCTCTTAGGAACTGGGCACCGACAGGAGTGAAGTGGAGAAGTATTGTTTTGTTCTTTAAACACAATGAGCTCAGAACCTGGGCTTATTCGGTTTCCCCATTTCTCATGCTCCCAGGTGCCCACAAGATGAGCCAGGTGGCTGCTCCAAGTAGGGAAAAAGAGTCTTTTCCCTTTCATTTGGGTGGGTCTGTGGCATGGTGGCAAAAAAAGCAAAATGCAGAATAAATGAAACCAAGTGTCCCCCAGCAGGAGAACAGAAACAGATGGCAACAATTCACTCCATGGAAAGCTGTCAGCAATGGAAGACAGCAGTGGCTGTAAGCTGTCTTAGAAAGAGAATCAGTCTTACAGTGGAACGAAGTTGGCCCCAAGGAATATGTATTTATTAGTTTTCTTACATAAAGTTGAAAATAGGCAAAACTACAAGTTTTAGGGTTTCTGAACTCCAGGGGTTAATATAAAAAAGGCTTTGACTCTGCCTCTTGCTTAGTAGGCTTCTTATTGCAATGGCACTGTGTGGTAATTGGAACTGCTCTGCATATATTAGAAGATTGGGAAGGAGCAGCAATAATGGAGCTGGGCACAAAGCATGTCACTGAGAAGACAGCGAGGAAGGACTGTGCGATCCTGTATGTGAGTGGCACCCTCAGCATGAGCTCAGGAATTTTTAGAGATGGCACATTCCTAGCTCTGGTCACTGGAGAGAAGCAGCAATGCTCTTGACAGCAAAGCGCACTCCTAGCGATTGCATCTTGGACTCTGGACATGGCTCCTCAGTAAGCAGAGCCAGGAGAACGGACGGGGCAAGGAAGGTACAAAGTGAGCCCAAGGCATGCTTGCTGGCTCAGACAGCTGGACATGCTCCCGGACGACAGGGGAATGAACGTCAGCACTTGGGGCGAGCTAGAAGGGCCTCCCGTAGCCAAATCTGGGATCGCTGAAATACCAATAAAATAACGGTGGTGGTGGATTGCTACACAGGAAGGGGCATGCAGGCGGCTTCCCACAAGGTTGCCTCCTGGATTGTGAGTAGATATGCCTCTTTGCTTCCTAACATTTACCTGTGCAGGTGGATGTCCCCAAAATTGTCCATATGTGGTTATGTTCATGACAAAAAGCATGCAAAAGAGTAAGTAAGTGATTTGCATACATGTGAGTATTTGTCACTCTGTGGCTGAGGAGGTGCTGTCCTTTGCCATGGGAGGGGTAAGCTAGTGACTCCAGGCCTACACAGCATTGCTGTCAACCCACTAAGATGCTCTGGGCGCAGGTGCAGAATTGTGCATGTAGACACATTTTCTGACATAAGAAAAAAGGAAAAATGCACATTTGCATGCTCTGGATAAACAGTGAGACACACAGGAATTTATCACAGATGGTCACCCAAGAAAGGCTGAGGGGACTGAGGCAGACAGGCTGACAATAGGAGTGAGAAAGACAGAGGCCTTGTTCGGTTCTGACATCTAAACAACGGAATGGGTTATCCATTCAAAGCAATAAAGAAATAGAATTTACAAATAGTTAATTATCTTTCTTGAACAAAGACAGTATTTGCAGAATGTACCTGAACACTAAATGCTGAGAAGAAATCCTGAGTACTGTTAGAAGTCATCTACTACCTTCTTAGCATAAACATGAGCCCACAGGCACCACAGACTAGTTTATCAAGTCAAGGCCCAGGGTCCTACCTTTCTTGTTCAGCTGCAAGACGGAAGGCGGGGGAGTGGCCACCTTCATGGCCAGGCCATAGGCTCCACGGAAGGAGTGGCTGTCCCTGACGATGAATGAGCCAGGCTCCTTGTCCTTCAGCATGGCGATGGCTGGAGGAGAAACAGAGGGATGTAAGTGTCACCGGGACACAGTCTGCTTTGTTTAGAACCAGGGCAGCACACTTCCCACTCCTCTGGCAAACCAGGTGAGTGGGAGTGGGCCAGGGTCCCCTAGGCTGGAGGAATGATGCCAGTGTTCTCCTGTCCGTGCAGCTGAGGGGCTCTCAGGGAAGGCTCTGTGATGACACCTAGTTTCCTGGGGCCTGGCTGTAAAGGACGCAGGAGAGTGCAGGAGGGCCCTCCCATGCATCACGCAGGCCCCCAGTACCTGTTGCTCACACGATTCCCTTAACTGCACAGCTCCCAAGAAGCCTGCAGGAGGTTCCCCACCAGACAACCCAGGACACGGAGGCCAGGTGCCAATGCCCACCACATGGCAGCACAGGAAGCAATGCAGAAGGCTCTCCCCTTCCCCCGTGGCCCGCCTGGTGCAGACTCCCTGCATGGACTATTTCTTAGAGATGTTAGAAAGCATGCACTTCCAACAAAGGAGAAGCAAAGAGGTTTCCAATAACACTTTCTGAAGATAGAAAGGATGCACCAGAAGTTTCCTGAATATTTAATATAATGTCCAGGTTTGCCTCTCGGGATGATAAAGATGTGGGCATAGGCAGCCATCTGCCCTGTGGCTCTGGCAGAGGGTCCCAGCCTGGTCTCCAACACTGGTCAGAGCTGACAGCTAAACCTGGCACAGCGGCCCCCCAGATACCCTAGGTGAGGCTGGGTGGGGGGTGACTATTGCTTGGAAAAGAAAATCCCTGCCCTTTACAATAAAAATCTGGCACCACTAGCTCCCATGCTCACAGCACTGGAAGGTAAGGGGGCTGTGTTCCCATGACAGGAACCTCAAGCCTGAGGCTGCCACGCTCCGGCGGGAGTTCTCTCAGTCACTGGAATACACTCCAGAATTTTGTTTTTACTTTATAAAAATAAAGAGAGAGAAGACAAGGGACTTCAAGTATAAATAATTACAAAATTATAGCCATGGGAACGCCCTTCTCTGTGGGGCCCAATGTCCAGTCTGGAGTGGGTCAGGATGGAGCCCGGAGTGGAGGGATGCCAGGGCTCCTAAGGGCCTGGCTCCTGGGGGCCCTTGGCCAGCTGTAGCCCCACTCCTGCCCGGCTGCCACAGGCGTGGCCTTGGTTTGGCCAAGGATGGAAGAGAGGGTTTCTCCCACATATGCTCTGTGGTACAACCCCAGTGCCCCACGCAGGACAGGTTATGGGGCAGCAGCCTGTGAACTGTACTCGGGGGCCTGCTCTCCACCTGCCGCTGCTGCCCATCCACACATTGCCAGGGCCAGAGGGGCTGGGCAGGGCTGGGTCCCAGGGCCCCCACAGTGGGCACCATAGGATTTTCCTCGTGGACTGTTTTCTAAATTTGGGGGCTGAACATGCATTATTTTTCAAAAGTAAGGGAGAAGATCACCGCAGAAGTTATATTTTCTCAACTGTGATATACCTCAATGAGCTTTTTCCTTTTAAGTCATGATTTTACTTCACTGTGGTAGAAACACGTGCCTAGCCTCGCAGGCCTCACTCTCTGGGAAATCACTGCACAGCAGAGGGAGGCGGTCTGCCGGGCCTGGTGTCTCCTCCCAGGCCTGTCCCCAGGCTCCAGGGCTGACGAGGAAAGCCTGAGGATGATGTCAGATTCATTGTTCTGAGCAGATGGGAGCTGGGAAATGCACAGGCTGAGAACAGGCTCCGGCACGCGTCCTGCCAGGGTCCGCATTTCCCTTCCGGAGGCGGTGAGGGCAGTGGCCACAACCTCACCTGGCTCCCTGCAGAGGAGCAGAGGCCTGAACAGTGCGTCTTGAACAACCATATTTAACTTCGGTTTTACTGGGGGCCCTTTTTCCTCCTGAGGTATGTTTATGTTCACCTTAGAAAAGTCCCAAGAAATTAACCCTGTCATAATAACACGTGGCCAGCTACACCCCAAAAGAGGCCGTATCTGGTTTGGTTTCTCTTTCTCTTCCGTCTCCCTGGAATTCCATTGTAGCTTTTCCAGGAAAAGGCACATTCAGACAGTTAAAACAAAACAAAATGGTCCACTTGTGAGGTGCTAAGAGTAGTCAAATTCATAGAGAAAAGCAGAAAAGAAAAACAGAGCCCATGGGCAGCTCCCTGACACCTGGAGAGGTTGATGCCCCTGAAGGACTGTCAGTCTGAGTAGGCGTCCTCCTTACACAATATCCAGAAAAGAGGGGAAGTCACATTTTTCAGAGTTCATCTGGGAAGATCAACACCCAATACACACACACCAGCTATTCTGAGGTGGAGTCCACCCAAAAAGAAGTGCAGCTAAGTTAGACAAATGTTTGGCTATGTTTTAACTGTGGCTAGCTACATTAGATAAACAACAACAGTAACACCTACCACCCCTTGTGCACCTACCGGGTGTCACCACAGGGGTGCCTTCCCCATAGACCCTCTCCCCAAAGCCCCAACTTCATCACCTCCCACTGAGGGAATCACCTGGTACACAACCACCAAGCCAGCCGGCTTCCAAAGCGGGTGCCTGGTAGTTCAGAGCAGCAGGCAGCCCAGGCCATCACCCTGGTCTAGGAGGCTGAGCTGACAGAGTAGGAGGGCCCACACGGAATCTTCTGGAACACTGTGCTTCAGAAGCACCCCTCACAGTCTGTCAGGCGACCGAGGCTACTGCCACAATCATGGGGACTCTGGAGCCAGGAGCAGGGAGGCAGGAGGAGGGAGCACTGCAGAGCCCGGAGTCACGGGGAGCAACTTCACACAAAGGCTGATTCAGGAAATAAGAGGTCTCTCCAGGCCACGGGCTCCCCCCCCTTCCATAAAAATGACAATAGGTTCATTGAGCTCATGAGAAGAAAGGCACATTCTTACCATTTTTATTATCTACTTAATTAAACAGAAGAATTTCAATGAGAACATGGGTCAGTACTGCTTTTCAGCCACTTAACTATTTGTCTCCATGCATTTTGGAGAACTAATCCTTAGGAAAGAGTTGGATGATTTTCTTCCCGGCTGAGACGACAGGGCGCAGAGCAGCCAGCACCATGACTGCTCCTCACTGCCAGACCCACGCCACCCTGTCTCACCCCGGCACCCCCCAGGGCAGCCCCTGGGGAGCTTTCATTTCAGGGTGTCATGGCTGGGGGGTTCCAGTCTCCCCGGCCAGTTACATGTGGGGAGACCACCATGTAGCAGGGACCCCATGAATTCTGCTGATGGCTCGGCAGCTTTGTCTGAGGGGTTTCCCAGGATAGACCACCACACAAGGCTTACCAGCCTGTCTCTTGGACACCTATTTGTCTTCTGGTAAAAAGTGACCCTTAACTTAGCTGCTCAAAAATATTAATGATTTCAACTGCCATGAGGCTGACCACATACACCCACAGACTCCGTGTGGCGTGCATGTGAGGCATGTGGCTAACTGCATCACAGGTCCTATTACTGACTGCTTGTCTTTCCTATGTGACAAACACAGGTGTGCAGATGCAATGCCACCGCAGACACTTTGTCCTTCCTCCTGACCCTTGCCCCATGCCCCTCGGCCCTGGATGGGGACATGAAGAGTGACTTCTTGTGACAATCTACTGTCCCACTGGCAATGCCAGCTAAGCAGTGACTGGTAGAAATCACACCCTGCGGCTAGAATGCTCATGGCCGCCAGTGCCCATCCCTCCCCGGTTCCTTTCTTAGGACCAAGATTTTCCTATAGCGGCTGAAAGGTCGGAGTGTTTTCCCTGAGGTGTGTGACAAAATGTAGGCTTTGCTCTAACTCATCCTGTCTCTGGGACGTACCCACCTCAGGGTCATCTGGGAAGGGTCATACTTGTCCTGCCCACGCACCTTGTTCTCTGGAGATGTCCGCCTTGTACCAGAACTTGGATGTGTCTTGGACAAAGTTCACAGACACTTGCTTTTCACCTGGGTTATCTGCAAAATGGAATTTTAAAACAGTAACTATTGAGGTCTCACTGCATCTGCTCACTTCCCAGGAACTTGAAGTTCAAAGTCCAACCCCGGGAGCAAAAGCAATGGTGGGCATTCTGGGGAAGGTGTTCTCTCACCGTGCAGGAACCACCAGGCTGGGAGCAGCCGCATCAGAGCACACCCCAGGGCATGGCCAGCGCCCTGCACCCACGCCAGCGACAGGGACAGACAGACAGCGAGGGCAGCGTGGCTCCACCCATGTGGGTCTTATTCTTAGACATTTGAAATATCTCAAAATTGTTTTGAATGAGTTCATTTAAATAAAAAATATTGTCATTTTTGAGGACCAATGATTCCAAGTGGGAGCGAGAACAGAAGCACCGCAGGCACCGCGTTCATGCCGTGGGGATGAATTTGCTGTGGACAGGGGCAGGCTGGTGCTGCACTGAGCTCGGCACTGGTTGTTTGCTTTGGGAAAGGCCATCTGGCCGCTCTGAATGTTGCTTTCCAGGTGCCTAGCTCTGCTCCACATCCACAGCGACCCAAGCCCCTCCTTTCACATGAACACACCTACCTGGAGAAGGTGCTGCTGCCTCCGAAGCCTTGGAAAAGTCTGGGAGCACGCTTGGGAAAGGAATGCTCATGGTGCTCCCACTGTGGGGGCTGGAGAAGCCGCTGGAGGATGGGGACACTGATCCAAAAGAGCGCTCACCCTCTGAGGCCCGCTTCTTTTCAGGAAGGGGCGGCTGCCCAGGCAGGCTTGGCCCCTGGGCCTGCAGGACTGGACTGTGGTGGCCGCCGTGTCCAGGCGACACCGTGAGAAAGCTGTGGGGCAGGAAGCTGCTGTCGGCAGCAGCTGCTGTCCGCGGGGCACCGGGGACCTGGGCCACTCCGTGGGAATGAGCCAGCATGGCCCCCGGGTCATCCCCAGGCGGAAGGCTGCTTCCCACGGAGGCCGCGCTGAAGTTCAGGAAGGCCTGGCCACTCGGGGAGCCCAGGGCCTCGGGCAGCTCTGCCACTGACAGCTCATGGTTGTGAAAAGAGGCCTGGAGCTCGGCAGGTGGACCAAGGGGTCGCCCAGGGCCGTCCTTGCCAGGGCCCGGGACCTCGCCGTCACTGAGGAGGCTTCCTGCAGGCCGGCTGCTCCCCAGCAGCGTCAGTGTGGACTTGGGGCTGGTCTCCACCCACTGGTGCTCGGCACAGGAAACGCTGTTCAAGGGGCAATGCAGTCAGAGAACAGGCCACATCCCGGGAGACACCTCAAGATTAGCAATCATTCCAGGATGGTGGAGGGAGGGATGGGGAGCTGAGGATGCCTGGCAGCTCACAACATCCCCCCAAACATCAGCAGGCCTGCCTTTCCAGCCTGCCATGTCAGCACTCACCTGATGCTAACCCACTGCTTAGGGACCTGGGCAGCCCTCCAGACTGAGGAACTCCCCCTGCCTCATCAGCCTGCCATGCTCTACTTCTTCTCCTGATGCCATAAAGGAAATAGCAAATTCCAATAGTAAGAGTATCAGAAATCACCCCACAGTTAAGAATACAGGGACAGCTAACAAACCACCAAATCGCATATACTTATTTAAGTAGCACTTATTTGCTCAGTGGGTGATGCCAAATCCTTAGATGAGATACATACACCTCCTTTTTTTAAGGGAAAGGAGGTGGAATTAAAGGTGTTAACTAGAGAGCAACATGACACATAGAGGTAAAAACCCCAAGAAATTATTCCTACCTCGGGCGTATGTATTCGCTCAATGGCAGGCCCTTGTGAAGCAGAAACAGGACATTTCTCTCTGTTTGCAGCCCCTCCTTCCTGTCCTCCCAGCACCACCAAGGGGGTGGGCCTATGCTTTCCCAAACACCAGTGCTGATTCCACACCCCGAAAGCAGCTCTGTCTGCCCTCCCACCTTACCACCTCAGTGTATGCCTCAGCCCCGTGCACCCCCACTCAGCCCAGCTCAGAACACACTTTTACGGACACCTGGTCCTTAACTGCCCACTGCTACTGGCCTCCACTTGCAGAAGCTTTCCTGCATGCTCTGCCTCAGGAGTTTTTATTTGAGATTACATCTTGGAAGAGTGACTGCTGCCAATCACAGGGCAGGCCTCCCTGGTCCTGCCCATGTCTGGGGCCATCAGAGTGACCTGGGCTACATCCAAGAGCCCCTTCCTACCTCTCCCTTCGCTGCCCGGGGCCGTTGCTGGAAATCGTGCAGGACGACGCGAATGACCGCTGGAAGGAGGCTACTGTGGGCATGTCAGCCCGGAGCGCCGCAGGCTTGGGTCCCCCAGGGCCCTCTGACATCCCCACGGAGTGATCGAGGATCTCAGGGCAGCCTCGAGGTTCTGAAGTGAGGAAACAAGAGACAGGGTTACAGGGCCGAGGAGGCACTGCCTCGGCCTGCTCTGTGCTTTGCAGTACAGTCACTTCAGCAGAGGCAGGCACCACTTCTAAAATGCAAGGGACTTCAGTCCCCCATCACAGCCTTCATCATCTTGTGTCATCACCATGAAGGCTGCTGGTGCTGGCGAGGAAGCACAATGTCCCACCTGAAGACCAGTTTACTCAGATTTACTGACCATGCTGACAATGCGAGCTGTGTCCCTTTAGGAAGGGCAAGGCCTCCCCCGGCAACCACTGGGAGAGTTTCCGCAGACAAGCCCTACATCCCTGAAAGTGCAGGCCCCGTGGCTGCGGGCTGGGTGGACATGGTACCTCCACGTGTCCTGCGTTGCTGGCCCAGATCCCACCCCGGTCTGCCCACTAACACTTCCCGCCTCCAGCACAGCCCTGCCCCCTCGAGGTGCAGAGACCACCCTGGGAGAGCCCCAGGGAAGGAGAAGCCGAGGGCCCTGAAATCCTGCCTGATGCCAGGCCCGCACATTCCACAGAATTTCACACATTTCAGTGACCAAACGTCTGTTCTGCTTCTGGCCTGGCATCTTCTTTATTTCTGGATATTTTAAAAACCTTGCCTTTTTTTAAAACTAAGTTTTAATAACTGGAGGGATCTACCATGGTCAGCAAAATGATGATGTGAGAACTACAGGTTCTTTTGCTTTCTGCTTTAAAAAGGGGGGACCAATAAGAGAATAATAAAGCTAAACATTTCATGCTACTTGTCTACTCAGTCTGGGAGGGGGAACAACCCGGGGGCAGGCCAGGCACCAGCAGCAATTTCTCCCACAGCACAGACCCACCTGGAAGCACAGAGAGCAGAGGCTGACGTCAGCACATGCTCGGGGCTGTGGAGCCCCACTGTTCTGGGGAGATAAAAACTGGGGTTCAGAGCTACCTAGGCCACAAGGACTCAGAGATGCAGAGCCATGAGTTAGACATTGTGGGCACAATCTCCCCTCAAGTATCTCTGACTCCTGAGCTCAGAGATAGAGGGCCGGACATCTGTAACCAGGGCAGAGGTAGTTGCTGAGAAGCCAGAAGATAAGCAGGGATCTGGGAGAGTCACGATGCGGCTGGGAAACAAAACTCAGAAGCTCAAGGCACTAACTGGGAGGAGAGGCCCTTGCAGACACTTCCAAGATTCCAGATGAGGTCCCTAAAGGCTACAGTCTATGAGGGCAGTGCCGGAAAGAGCTCAGCCCTGAAAGGATCTGCACAGTCAGCCTGCGAGGAAGTCATATTGTCGCTGGGGAATCCTGCACCCAGAGCTGGCCTCCATCTATCCATCCATCACTCTATCAAGTCTATATCTATCTATCTATTCCTCTCCTCCATCCATCTATCCCATCCATCCTGCCATCCATTCATTCATCTATTATCTAACCATCTATATGTAATTTTTTGTACTCAATATCAAATATTTAAAAAGATAAACTGATCAGGCATGCCAGGTAACAGAACAAAGAAATGAAAACTAAGACCCCTCCCAAAAAAAGACAGAAAAAACACCCACAACTGATACAACATTGGAGTTAAAAGACTTTAAAATAACTGAACTGAAAATGGTTCTGATAATATAAGAAAAGACAGAGAATTTCACTAGAGCCCTGGAGCCACTGAGAGTGATCAGACGGGAACCCTAGAACTCAAGAACACAACCAATGAAACTAAGCATTAGGCGAATGACTTTGTTAGCAGATGAAGATTAACTGGGCGGCAGGTCAGAGCAAAGCACCTGGCCAGCAGCACATGGTGGGGAGCGGGTGGGGACACACTGAAGGGGATCAGGGTGCGTGGGACACCACGCGGGTCACAGGCACCCAAGAAGGTACAGATGGAATGAGGCAGAGGCAACATCAGAAAAGACATTTGCTGAGAATTTCCCAAAGCAGACTGAGAAAATCAAGACACACTTTTTAAAAAAGGCATGAAATCTAAGGAGTAGTAGAAAGAAGAAAACCACACAGTCTTTAATAGTCAAACTTGTGAAAATCACAGACAATGTTGAACACAGCAGCTTGTCCAATTGGGGGGAGGGTAGGAGCCAATTTCAGGGCTAATTTTTTAAGCATTTAGAAAACCTTCATAGCAAAACCTGGTGCTAATGCTCCATACAAAGCACAGGTAGCCCTGGGGAGGGGCACTGTCCCCCAGCCGCCCCCAGGGCTGCTGCTCCGTGACCCTAGTGTGGGCTTGGTGAGTGTCATCATCTCCACAGGTCCACACGCCTGGCCCCTGCCACATACTCCCAGAAACTCCAAAAGCAGATGCAGGTGTCCTACTCAGAATCCTGCATCTGCCCCTCACAGAGCATGGCACTCCACAGTGAGTGTTCTAAAGCAGGTGTTTGTTCAATTGATCAACCAAATGGGTGGTCTTCGAGGCCCACCCTTCAATCATTTAAATGATGCTGGGACAGAAAAGCAAAGATGCACGGGTGTTTCAGATCATCCCTCCACATGCACAGTCCTCTCTTGGTAGGAGGATAACAGCTTCAGTTATGTTTGTCTGTACTCACTGTCCACCTAAGATGTGTTTCTGAGTAACAGTGACCTGTCAACATGGTGACAGACGCTGCGTACATGTCAGCATTTTGTCAGAATAAGGAGACGGGGTTAGTATCACATGGAGGGGCATGGAGGAGGAAGCGTTTCTGTCTGAGGGAAGCTGGAAGGCCTCCTAGAGGAAGCAGCACTTGGTGGAAGCCTGGAAAGTTGTATGGGATTCTGGCAGACTGAGTAGGTGCAACAGGAGGCCACCGTTCATCCACAGGCCCTGTGCTCTGCAGGCAGAAGTACCCCCACTGTTCACTGTTCACTGGGGGGAGCTGTAAGTCACTCATGCTATGAATTCATAAATGAGTCAGCAAACACTCCACGGCTGAAAGTAAAGGTAATGTGGAAGTGTAGCTTGGGGGCTGGATTTGAGGAGTGGGGAGTGGAGGTGCTGATTGGCCCCAAGGATCCCATGCCCAGGAAGAGCACAGAAATCTAGAATTTAAATGGTAGGCATCAGCCAAGACTAGTGTGCCCGCTTTATGCTGCCTGAGCATTGAAACAGGCACGCAAGCAGCTGAACTCAGTATGAAGCCCCGACTCCCATGATGACTGCCACGGCTGCCACTGCTCTTCATGGTCGCTGTGCAGCCATAAGGGGCAGCATGTTCCGCAAGTCCCAGAGCCGCAAAGATCTCAGGAAGCCCATGCCCCACTCACATGTCACCTGAGAATCTCACCAAAGGGGAAGGGGCTGGAGGAAAGTAAGATCCCGTTTTGTCCTGTTACGACATTTCCTGTCCCAGAAAACAGCAAGGGCAGCACTTCCCAGGAAAAGTGGCTTTGTTTGTAACCCAGCGCCAACTCTGGAGCACATGGCTGGGTTCCGTTCCCTCCAATGGAAGAGCCCCTGCCTGGAGTGACAGGACTTAACCCTTTATCTGAGAAAAGGGGAGCTGAGGACCTCGGAGCATAGACACCGGCCTCCTGGCCACAACTCTGCAGAGCCAGGCCCTCCATGCACTCTAAGATGCAGGAGCTAAACGCACCCACCACTCAGCTGGGGGACCCCACCATCCATCCACTAGGATGTCTCCCCTTTAGGGAAACAAGGCCATACCCTTCAAGCTCCAAGAAGTGGGGTGCTGGCTACTGTCCCTGCTGGGAGAGTGTAAGAACAGGAACCCACATGGTGGAGGACGCTGACCACCTGATCGGTTACATGTGTCAGACCTGCAAAGCCTTCTGCCAGGGCTCACGTCCTTTCCAGAAACATGCACACAGTAAGGGCAGGAGAATGCACTGTGGCTGTCTTTGTTCACCTTGCACCTTTGCTGTTCACAGGCAAACCACACATGTTATTTTTAAAAGGGCGCTGCCAGTGGGCCTGACTGTCTGTTCTGCAGGTCAGGCTCCTGTCTTCTTAGCTCTGGATGCTGGAGGTGGCCCAGGGGCACTGTGATGATGATTGAGCAGGTGCAATTTCCTGCCTACGAGGCGGCCTGCAGGTGACCACCATGGGGCTGTTGGCTCTGAGGCTGCCCAAGTGAGCGTGTGCCAGGCAGGCTCTCCTTCATCTCGGCCCCGATGTTGGTTCTAAACCAAGTACGTGGGAGGCTCCAGCTGGTCAGACTTCTTCCTGGGGCCACGGCCCCCCTCTAGGATGTGTCCTCAGCATGGGGGGAGCCTCAGAGCCTCGAAGACCCTGCTTCAGCCGTGTGCAGGTCAGGGCCCTGCTTGGCAAGGCGGCATTTCTGTGCCTCCTCAACACATCCTCACATTTACTTCCGGGTTTCTGCTGACCTGCTGACACCCAGTGGGGGATGCAGACTGCAGCAGCCTTTGGAAACCAGAGCTCCCTCCGTACGCCAGGGACTTGGGGCATCCAGGCCCACTCTTCTCCCCTCAGCTTCCCCTTCCGACCCTTCTGGGTGAGAGAGGGTCACTGGCTCTTCTCGAGAAGGCTTTTTTCATGCTTGCATTTGAGCCATGGCAGGAGGGGATGAGGAGGCAGTGGGGTCTCATCTGCCTCCAAAGCCCACTGGCCCTCCCCCTATACCTCCTCTGCTCCAAGCTAACAGGAGGGAGGGAGCCACCCACTCTACACCCTCCGGAGCTAGAAGCTAAGAGGTGGAAGGGAGCTGCTCTGCCACAGGCTGGGCCACTGGCCCTGTCTGCCAGGGCCTGCCCACCAGCGCATGCAGTCCTCACGTGGAGGGAGCTGAGGACAGACAATGTGAAGGTGGACCCAGACATCAAGGCCCACCTCTGGGCAGCTCTGATCTTAGATGAGGAGCCACAGCTTACCCAAGAACAGTTAGGGTGTGTGACATCAAAAACAAAAAAGTTAACATTTCCCTGTCTTCCTTGTTGCATAAAAAAATCTTACAAAGGTACACGAATACTTGAGGTCAAGGTTATACTCCCCTGCCCAGGGAAAAGAAGCTTGA